AATTAGATTTTTCCAAAAAGAATTAAGGTCGTCGTTTTTTAAAAATAAAATTGTATGATTTTTTTATCTGGTATGATTCTTCTAGTTATTCCACATGTACAGGGTGTCCGACGGAAAGTTATTAAAACTATTAAAATCAAATAAAATTAAATAAAAGTTTTCCATTAACCAGAATAGTAGACTCAAATAAAACTTCCAAATACCTTCCAAATCCCTCTATCAGTCGCTACCTCTCTTCTTTCACCGGTGTGAGTCACCGGTCATATTTTTCCGTACTTGAGCGCAAAATATGAGCGATAAAAATGAAGATCATGGTAAATATTAAAAACATTTAATAAAACAGTTTTGATGTATCTGACAGTAAATAAAATAACACATTATTGTTTAGCCAAATGCTTATTCAAACATTTACGCGAATATAAATATTTTTTTAGAATTCGATCTCTGAATGTAAGGAGACATATGTCAGTTTGTTTAGGCAATTAAGTGTAATCATTGATATGAGACAAAGAATATTCCTGCAAAAAATTTGCACTGTTTGAAAATGAATGGGTTCGTGGCGTGCTTTACGAGCTCGTTCATATATATATATATATATATATATATATATATATATATATATATACATATATATAATGAAACATTATATATTCTCTAGTTTCGCCAATGATGTTTATATGTTATGACTTTGACGGATATGACTTTATGGTTGTTTACAATACTTGAAAGCTGTTTTGGTTTGTAATATGCTTAGTTTGCTCGTAATATACTGAGTGAGTTAATTCGAAAAAAAATTAAAAAGTTCCTAAACTTTGGAGTCGCAAAAAATCTTTTTGGTACATGTTTTTTTTATCTAAAAAAAAACATATTTACAAAATTTGACCTAAATCTGAGCACGGACGTTTTCGGAAGTTTCGCCAGGAATAATAGAAAATAACGTGTCACAGACTAAATTATTTTATAAAAGAACGCGTTCGATATCCGAGGAAAATGCTGCACAATATATTATCAGCGCTTCGAAATATAAGCGCACACAACTACTTTTTCAACATTTTCTTCTGAATATAAAGTGAATAAAGGGCATGTGGAAAGATGTACGCAGTTAGAATTCGACAGAAAAAGAATTTGCCAATCTGCAATTAAAAATTGCGGACAAGATAAGACTAGGTACTATACGATTTAAAACTCTCGGTACTAATTGGTCAATTGGCTTACTGCTTGAGTTTCATTGTTTAAATTTTTCTATGTGTGTAATGTTTTGGTTTATCACATCTTTTATTACGGTGCAAATGTATTTCAATGTTAGTTAAAGTCGAAAATTTTGATATAATAAATATCAAAGCCCCAATAATTATTTGAGTTACATAATCTAATTTACTTTAGTCTACGTCAAGTTCTGATAATTTGAATTTGTTATTTCAGAATTAGTTAAAGTTATCTATTGACATTAGGTAAGCTTCGCGCGTTTAGTCTCATAAGCGGACACCAGTGTTAACTATATTCTTATGCATTATCAGTTCAATATTTTTGACAAATTAAAAATGTGAAAATATTAGTTATGGGGTTATGGGGTTTTGAGGGTTATAAGATCAAGGGATCATGGGGTTAATAGTTTATGAGGGTTTTAGGGCCAAACAGCTTAATTATTGAGATGAGACAAGTCGTATAAATCATATGGTAAGATCACTTCATCAGGTTTTTGAGTGATTTTGCTTATGGGGTCATAGAGTTTTTCAAAAAGGCCACTCAAATTTCGAAAGCCCTTGCTTATACGAACATTTTAAGCCCAAACGCAATATTGTAAGTCGCTTCAATTTTTGGACAGAGGGAGGGGCCACTTGACGTGGAATGTCACAATAATATTTATTATTAATTATAATATTGAAAAAACTGCCTAGTCGAAAGAGTCAGAGCAGTAATAAGCTTCTTGTACAGACTTTTTGATAGAATTCCTGCGTGGAGCTGATTTTTTTTTATTGCATTAAACTGATTTTGAGTCCGTTTCAAAATTAATGTGGTGAGCTTCTTTTATCCCCTCAATTTTTTAAATCCTTTTTTTTTTGCATTGAGGTTTTTACTTTTTCCTCAGCAGTGTATGAAATGGAAAATGCTAAATAATTTAGGACAAACTCATATATATTTATTTAACGTGTATTTTTTAAATAAAAATTTGGCGACGATTCTTGAATCGCAGGATCAAGTAGCTGCTCGTAAGTTAATTTTTTACAGTAGCGAGTGAGAGTTTGAACATTTATTTCGGATTAACGCCATTTTTGCGAAAAGATTCTCGCTCGATTTTTAATCTTTAATCGCTCTAAGTATAATTTTATTAGATATATCTACCTTAGCCGTGTTCCTTTTGTACTTATGTATAAAAAAAGACAATCCATCATTGAAGTCTGTGGACATATTACTCCATCAAAAATAAAACAGATAGCCCCGACCACATTTTTCAGTCTTTAACATGTTGCGAGCTGCGAATTTTAGATTTAACGTTTCTCCACATCTGATAACTATATATTAATTGATAATATTATAAATTTCTTGTCTTAATTTGAGTTAAATTATTATCGCACAACAAATTTTTGAATCGTCGAAAAATGTTGATAATTTCTTTCGCTTTAATTTTTGTAACGCATGTTGTGTCCGTGAAAAGCATCGCAAGATAACAAAAGCTTCTGAATCTCTTACGTAGAGCTTTTTTCAATTATTTGTTGGAATGGTAGAGATATCTATCTGTTAACACCTGAGATAGCAGTACTGTAGACGCATAGCTCCCGTAGACAGATGGCCTTTTCCCTATTGTAGAAAGAAAGCTAACTGACTTAACTGTTAGATTTAAACAGCTAGTATGTCAATATTTATGTTTAGTAAAGGTTCGCATGTGTCTCTTAGACCTTCCCCAAATAGTTAAATCGAATATTTCTTTTGGTGGAGTCGATATGTCATATTTAGTAATACACGCTCCGTGATACTGTAAGGATATAATGCCGCAGATTACAAATAATACGGCGTTGAGTTATTTTGTAACATTAAAGAATGCTTACGTAAAGTGCAAGATGAAATCATGTGGTAATAAGGTTATTTGGAGATATTCTGCGAAAGAACACTTAATTAAAATACATGATATGTATGAAGAAGAAGACGAACGAACATGGAGAAACGACACCTACTTACTTTGGCAATATTTTTCAAGAGAAGAAAGCTTTTGGGCAAGATGTGAATTTTGTGGCAGTTTAGTTTTTGTATATAAAGGATATCATTTAGAGAACCACTTGAATAATTGTAATAAAAATGGCAAAAATGCATTAGCTAAAATACAAGAAGACGTTACTTGCAGTTGGCTGTCGCAATATTTCACATTTACAGGCCGTAATGCATATTGCAAGATTTGCAAGTTCCAAAATTACAAGCGTTATATTTTCAGAATATTTGAAGGAAGAGATGTCTTAGAATCTCACGTGAAACATCATTATGAAAACGGAATAATACAACAATTTGTACATGAAACAAATTATGCCGGCCCAAGTTTTTATCACGATAATACACATACTCAATCTCTTAGAAATCGAGAAGCTCAACAGGGGTAAACATCTCAGATATTAATATTTTATTTATTGTAAATTTTTAATATATTTTCTATCGTGTGTGTACATATAATATAAAAAAAGTTAATATCTAACATTTAAAATATAGAGACTGTACAAATTTCAATTTTATATTTAACGTATATTTTTTATAAAAATTGTAATTATTTGAATTAAATAACATTATTGAACAAATTTATATCAAGTTTATATCAATTCAAACATGCTCTTACATATTTATTATCTAATATATTCAGTGATTGATAGATATTCTCATAAACAATTAAGTAACTGCGCAAGTATAACAGAATTTAATAGGAATTGTGTTTAAACATTCCATTTTAAGAAATATATGTGAATAATAAGAGTCAATGATCAAGTAACATACATGACTGCAATATATGATCTTGTAATTTCAATTACATTAGTAGTAAATTATATACTAAAGATGGTCTAAATATTACCTAGACCGATAAGTTTATAAATTAAGGTAACTCCGGTATTTACGCCGCGCGAGGATTTACGCTGCAGAAATAGAAGGGATAGAGATACTTGCTCGCAATCACACTGTTATGTGCCTTTATGCCATGTTAGTAATTTCAGTTCTTTACTGTTAACATTAACGAAACCGTCGTGAGTTGAATTGATTTCTCACCGTAGTAAGTAGCGCGATCATATATTACAACCTATGTAAAATGAATACTGTAGGGAATGTAAAAAGTTTAATGGTTATTTCATGATACATAAGTGTAAAGGGATAGTAAAGGAT